TCCCGCCCGCCCCCTCCTCTTACCTACAAACTTGCAGCGCGTTTAGCTGGCACACGCTGAGGCCGTGACGTCACAGCAGCAGCAGGCCCGCTCATCGTCCAGGGCCAGGGCTCTCTCACTTTCGCTTGTTTTTGCACCGTCTGTCTGATTGCAATAGTGACGCGGCGGCCCAGCGGTGGGAGTGGGGGCCTCCGGTTCATACACTTAGAGGATCGTATGCCGCGAAACTTTCATTTAAGGCGTTGTGTCCGGGACGTGACGAGGCTGCGAATCAGCCAGCGGTCCTTGGCGCCGCGTGGTGCCGAGCTCTGCGTCCCGCTCGGTGGCTGGGACATGATTTAGGCCGCGACCCCCCTCGCTCTCCCCCCGCATACAGAGCGAACAAGGATGTACGGGTATGGCGTGTACTATGATGGTCAAATTGACAACGCAAATAAATTCGGTACGTACAAATATGTCCAAGAATGCAATCCACTCAAATTATAGACGCAACTTGGACTACGACACTACCTATGATTATTATTTACTATCCTGTTACTATTAAGGTACTGAGTAAGTACTAACTTTAAACTAACTGTGGCACTATCATATTTACGGAACTACCGCTGCCCTACTGTTATACTACCAAAGCCTTTGTACATGAGGCTACCAACACTGTAAAGAATCTGTTGCGTTTAGTAACAAACACTGTACTATTTTTCGTTTTTCAAAAAGTTCGTATTGTAAATGTTACGGGAATAATCATTATTAAATATTCAACAGGTTGCCCGTGAATGTGGACTGGACTGCGGTCCGTGATGCACCAGCGCGCCAATGCCTCATGTCAGATGGAGAATGATGCTTAGGGCGAGGTTTGGGCGTCTGACCTACGGCAAGGAGCAGGCAGGAGCAGGGGCCGGCCGGAGGGGTGGGGGCATCGTGACCAGCTATTAGCGTGTCGGCCGTTGACAAGCATCCGCAGCGCAAGAAACGCGGATTCAGTCAGAGGGGCGGGGCTCGGGAAGCGAAGCGGGCGATCGTTACACCCCCTTCCACCACCCGCACCCCACCACTCCCCTTCCTCTACTACCCAGCCACAGCAGCGAAGGGGGCGGCCCAGGTTCCCCAGCTTAGCACGGCGCTACACTCAAGATGAAGGCATGGTTCGAAATACTTCGATGGATTACTTGGCTCGAGTAACGTCCAGACTACACCCCCCCCCCTTTCCCCACCTTTCTTCCCCCCAGCCCACATTTCTCCTCCTTGCTTCGCGTACTTGATCTCACCGCGACAAGACTATCGCAAGGTTGTCGTTCTTTCTATTTCCTCTCGGCTTTTTGAGCAGGGTGTGTTTACGTCATTACGCGGTCATCCGTGCCGACATGTCTGTGAGGCGCAGCGCGGCCTATCTTTACTTTTAATGAACTGCGGCTCATTTGGCCTTGAAGAGGAGGCAGGCGGAGGGACAAGCGGAGAGGTTGGGTGTAAGAGAAAGAGAAAGAGAGAGAGAGAGAGAGAGAGAGAGGGGGGGGGGTGGAGAATAACCTCACGATAACGAGCCATCCAGCGAGCCAAACAACGTTCCTCGCGACACTCCGTGGCTTTCCATGCAATTATTCTCGGTATACCGTCACTATTTTAAATGGTTGGTCGATCATTTGTGTGGCCATACCTTTCTGACTGGAGACCGATCCCCGATCCCTTTTAACGACTAAGGATGTCGAACCACAAGTTTGTCGAGTTTCTGAATTTATAAAGCAAATGAAATAGGGAAAATTACAAGTTAACGAATAAATACGGGTTCTGTGGTCGCAAAACAGAACATGAGTTCTAATGGCCCTTGGCCCTTGTTTTTGACGAGGCACTTCAGTGCACATTCTTGTAATTTTGAATATACTATTTTTATGGAGCGCAAATATCTATGGAAGGGTGACTTTTATTCTAATTTCGTCTACTTTATACCGGACCAGTTAACCTCTTAGTTTTAGCTTTCAAAATGGAGTTGGCTACCCGTGGCTTCCATACGTTACCAGGACACTGACGAAACGAAGAATGAGCTTACTTGAAGTATCCACTTGAGGAGCACTTACACTTTCACTCACATGTTGAGGTTGCAATAGCACACGCACCCACACGCGACAACTTGGATTAGGAGCACTTTTTAACACTTTTTTTCTACCACACTCACCTATAAACAAGAAAAATATGAGCAATCCAAGTTCCCTCATCGAGGCTTTCAATGTTCTCCCTAATATCTGGAGTCCTTTCGAGTGTCGGGAGAGCTTGAATATTCGGAAGACCCGCACTAGCCTGATGACTCTTAAAATGGCAAGGCTCATAGCCTGATTTGTGCTCTTGTCCTGCGGGCTGACGGGGGCCCGAGGCAGTTGTATCGTATCCTCCTCTTCGGCCACCACCGTGGCCAGGGTGATGAAGTACGGAATGATGGCGATGATGTCAATGATGTTCATGACGTCACGGAAGAAGTTCAATTTGTTTGGGCACGCCAAAAAGCGAACCCATAGTTCAAACGTAAACCAAACTATACATATAGTCTCTATGAGGAAAAAGGGGTCCGTGATGTCCGGCACTTCGTCTTCTTCGATCTTGGTGCCGTTGGTGGTGGTGTTAAAGACGCGGTAGTGTTTGAACTCAGGCAGCGTCTCCAGGCAGAAGATGACGATGGAGAGGAGGATCACCACCACGGAGATGATGGCCACCACCCTGGCTGCCTGCGAGCTCTCCGGATACTCAAACAGGAGCCACACCTTCCGTTGGAACTCGTGGTCCGGGAGGGGCTTCTCCTCCTCCTTGATGAAGCCCTCATCCTCCCTGAAACAGTCGAGAGAAGACACAGTGAGACACACTGATTGCGTAAAACGTTCAACACTCAACACTAGGACTTAGAATTAATTAGGATCATTGTTTATAGTTTGATTTTTGGTTGAATTTGGATTTGTGTCAATATCTTATAGATGGGACTTGTCACTTTATCTACTTAATTGGAAACATGGAGGAATGAAACGACTAACGGAGACCACCGGTTGGCATCCGAGATCATCGAGACCGATATCGGAAGCATGTAACATGACGCGCGCGTCCCCCCGCGCTCGCACAATGTGCATGTATCGGGTTGTTAACTCCTCGGGCCGGAAAGTGCTGTTGCTTCCTGAACCTTTGCTGACATCGAGCTCTCGGTCAACACCGGGCGCACTCGTGTTCCCGGGTCGGAAGGACATGATCAAGCCGAGAGGGAAAACAACACGCAACACACAGTGCAGGCAGCTAAAGCTGTCGATTGACGCAAAACTCTCTTTTAGCAGGAAAAATGGACACTGAAATACAATGTAATTCAACACAATTTGACGTTCTTCAACAAACTTCAATTTTATAGAACAATCAACTGTTTTGAACAAAGGAAACTTAGTTGTTTTGGAAACTGTAATTTCAAAAATGTCTCTCTAGTACTTCATTGTTGGTTGGAAACTACTTTTACTTTCTCTCTGTATGTCTGTTCGTGCATTGTGCCCACACGACATCTTGAGAACGGATAAAGGAAGCGACTTCAAAATTTAGTCTTCGCAATTTTTAAAAACAAGTCAACAATGCAGAAGAGCACATTAGATCCAAAAAATGGCAAAGATATGGTCCAAAAATAGGAGGCAAGGGTCAAAAACTCTCCAACGAATTTTTTCCCCTTATTTTCCCAGCATATCTCTTTCAGCCCCACCCCTTGCCTCCAAATCCTAAAATAGAGAAAAAGTTCCAAGCAGGACCAGCTCCTGCCAAACGGAGGTTTCTGAGGAGCCAAGTGTAGCTCCCAATTTCGTCTGACAGAGGGGTAGGCTAGCTTTTCATTTTGAAAGGTAAATACTTAGCAGACAAGAAGGCATATCTGGAAACCCTGGTGTGTACTTGAATGCAGTACCTCCTGCATACCTACTTGGTATACAGGAGGGACTGTGAACTTAGCAAGCATGCCGGAAGTAGTGTGTACTTGGTCGAGTATGCAGGAGGTATGGTGTGTGCATGGTCAAGAAAACACTTCAAACTTTATACACATAGGTATGCAGTAGGTACTGCATTCAAGTACACACTTGGGCTTCCAGAGATGAACAAGCTTTGCAGGACCTTAAGAGTGCATGCACTGTTACAAGAATATCCGAACTTAACGAATTCTTCGTGAAACTTCGTAAAATTCCAGCTTTTCTTTGTAATCATTTTTTTGGTAATGAAGTATTGAGATTTTACAAATGTATTATTTAATTTTATAGGAAATCCACAAGAAAGTTTTGCCAGTGCAGTATGACGAACTTTATGTGATTCCATGCTTGATTCCCATCTTTTACTGTCTGTTGTTTCGGGAAGAGAGCGTGATCTTCAATTCGACGTTGTGCCTACAGAGTATACTAATTCTTATCGACCCCAGCCCCTCACCAGCACAGGGGGAGAGAATTATGGAGAGAGGGGGGGGGGGGACATCATTCGTGCTTCGGAATAATGCGGCGCAGAGACTTGCACAGCGCAGCTTGTCCTGAATCCACATAACCCATCTCACCCACCCACATGAAGCTACACTGTTGAACTAAGTGTGCAACTGCTTGACACCTCTAAGTGTTAAACACTTTTAAGTGTGCAACTCCGTGGTTGTACACTTTTAAGTGTTCAACTTGCAGTTGCACACTTCAAAGTGTAAAGCAGTTGAACACTTAATTTATCAGTGTTTACCGACCTCCACCTCTTAGTGTCCGTCTCACTCACTCCTGCACATTCTGTAACCACTGCTCTCTCACTCGTGCGCAACTCCATCAATGAACAGAAACTAGACTTGCCAGCATCATGCATGAAGCCTTTGCAGTGTCAAATATCCTGAGCTAGATCTTTTAAAATACTGATTTGATAGCGGACTTCCGAGTTAACTGTAACGCAAATTAATTTCTCAAGTTCACTGCTTACTTGTGGGAAAAGGGGGGGGGCGGTAGGGGATTCAAACCGTGGTGTCGATTACACCAGAGTCCGGCTGGTAGGAAGGGGGAGGGGGTGCCTACCTACAGAGGTCTTGCAACACTAATTGCCCATCTCATAGACGGCTCAGGGGCCTGCGTAAATGTGATGTTACCACGCATCAGATTCTCGCTCTCATGGGAATTCGGTCAGCTCATGCCCCATGCGTGCCCTTTGAGGGCCCAACCTAGCTCAGCGCTGTTGGCGGTGTAGTGGCTGCATTAGCGACGCGCTGTTGCACGCCCTTTGCTGCAGAGGGCTGGACGCTATTCAGTCCTACGGGGCGGAGCGGGGCGGGGAGAAGTAGGGCCAGGAGGGTAGGGGCAGCATAAGGTGCGAGGCGCGAGAATGCCAGCCCACCATTTTCCTCGTCGGAAAAACGCCTAGGTGAGCACGTCTGGGCATTGCTGCGTCGCTGGAAAACTGCACGGACTTGCATGCAGACTTGTCTCAAATCGCAGTGAATTGACGAGGACGGCAATGGTAAAACAAGGGTAGGGCCAAGGCATTTTAAATGTGCTGAATTTTAGTGTCTTTATATGCCAAAGTGTCTAAAAGCACTAACATTTAAACCTTTGGGGAATTTCAGCGTCTTTCCAGGGTTGCAAATCCTTAAATGTCTCTGTTACGGCACTAAGTCATCAGCACCCCAAGCAGTCTGTTGCTTTCTACTTTTGTTTTTCAAGCGGGTTTCGAAGAGATTTGAAGATGATTGTACAGACACAAGTATTCTCTCAAAGCCCTTTGTTGTTGGAAACGACTATTTTACATACTTAGCCTTCAGCTATTTCAAGAACAACGCGTTTCTCAACCACGTGGATGCGTAATGTTAGTACTGTTGAGCGAGCAAAGCACTTCTCTACACTTGGTTTCGATTAAAATTGTGGAGAGTAATTTAGTTCTTTATTACATGTTCTTCTGAAGACATGCTGGACGGATACCGTCTGCGACGCCTGTCATATGGCACTACCTTCTATTGTGAATATTTCTTGTAGTGATGACGACAATACCATGGCTATTTTCGGACGGGATTTCATCACTGGTTTTTTCGACACATCTTTGTTCTTAAAATTAGCCATGGTATTGTCATCGTGACAATACTTTTTAACATTGTCAGGATCGTTTTGGGACACACTGAGGGGCTATGTACGTTTTTGGACGTAACTAGGTAAGATTTTGTATACGTACATTGCGTAGGTCTGTCAACATGCGTAACTACGTACAAAAAAAGGCTGTAGCTTACGTTCAAAAATAGTCTGTTGCTTCCGTAAAATTTGAAATTTATTACAAATTATATGAAGCAACGGCGGCTGCAGCTTCCACCCACTTCGGAATTTTTACATAGCTTATGGACATTGTGTTCTTGCAGACTTTATTCGTTCTCCTTTAGTGTGCAGCCAGGGGAAAAAGCGCGTTGATCTGCCTACTTTCACGCATGAATTTCTACATATGTCGTGCGCTTTAGGCAAGCGGACTACGGATGTATTTGGTGGCCGCTAACCCGTAGTCCTCCTCGCACAATGAGGCGTGCGCGGTGGGGCAGGGGTGGGGCGGGGGTGGGGCGAGCCAGGCGGGACGGAGCAGGGCCGCGGCGGGCCCCGCTGGGTCGAACGTAACCATGGCGACTGAGACTGCGAGAACAGCTGTGACGTCAGTGCATCATGCCGGGTCGGCTCGGGCCATCCTGTGCTCCCCCGTTTCGCTCTGCTGGCCTCTCATTGCCACTTCCCGCCCTACCCCGCCATGCCCGCCACGCAGAGGCCAGGCCTACACTGAACAATTGACATTTCAGCGGACGTTCGTCCTTGGTCCTCCAGCGCCTGGGTGACACGTTCGGTCCGGACGCGACCCTCTGCATGACCACCATCCAGCATGTCTTTGTTAACTTAATCATTCCCATACGGAACATGTATCGGGACACACTCTCCGCATCCAATCGGACGGCACAAACGGATCTCCAGTATATCCGAGAGAAATACGAAATACATGGTTTTCTTGACACAACAACCAGACTAGTCATGTGGCAACGCCGCACTCTCAAAACTCAAGCTTCGAAGCGTGGTTTTACGGTTTAACGGGGAGTACCAATGTTACTGGAGCGGTGGGGGGAATCTTCAATGATGCCTACATGTTCCTCTCTTCAGTTCTGAACCGCTTAGACAGGCGCCGGCGCCGCGAGCATAGTGATAGATAAGTAACAGTACGGTTTCCTGAAGTGCAGCGCTCTTTTCTGGCGCCCCTAAACGGAAAAAAAAAGTTTCTTCCCCCAACCGAAGTGTTGGTTAATTGTCGGAGAACTAACTGCTTTTAGTAGCATAAACCAGGATTTAGTTGTTATACAACCAACATTTCGTTGCGGGAACGAAACAATGACGTCGTTTCCTCGACTAAATGTGGGTTGCTGGAGCTGAAACTAGCTAGTTATCCGAAAATCAACTAACGCTTCGTTGGTGTAACTAACTCTTTTTCTCCGTGTACGCGAAAAACCGTTTGCCCATCCACCAACACCCATATGTGAATGTATAGTTTCTGACACGAAGAACACACACAAAAAAAAATAAAAATATTTCAGCAAATTCAAAACGGTCAGAATTTGAAATTTTGAACGTTCGAATGTTCGAATCTGGACAGTTTTGTTAAAACTAGTCGAAATTCGAGAAACGTTACGTTTTTTAAAATCCTCATTTTATGCTGAGTAATTTTAAGGAACGTTTCTTAAAATATGTCGAAAATTACCAGACTTCTGCGCATTTGGAAAAAAGGTCTGCACCAAAAAACGCCAAAAAATGAAAAATATCGTCAAAACCCCCAAATCAAATTTTTCAAAGCGGTCTTAAGACAGTGTCAGGGACCCCTTTCCGC